GGATACGATTGAGACATTCGACATTTTTGGTTGCGTATGTTATTCTACGCACACACACTTACGTAACATTTTACAAAATCAAACAAAATATGCCGCGTATTTATGTAATTGATAAAATAGAAGAAATTTGTCTCAAAGAATTTTCATTCATAAAAATGAATTTTCTTTAAAAAAATCGATCGGATTGATCGATCTTGTTCAAAAGAAAATAAAGATGTCGATTAGGTGGAAAAAAATTTCCGCCACCATAATAATAATGACAAAAAAAACAACCGATACCACATGATTTGACAGATTTGAGTTTTACAGAAAAAAGAAAGAAATATCATTATTTTTTTTTTTTGACGAAAACGAATAAAATAATGATTTTACCTCAATCATCATCAATGATCCATTGATGATTGAAAATTTTTTCTATTTTCACTCAAATGTTGATGATGTCAATTTTATTTTATTTTTTTCTGACGTAATTTGAAACTTTGATCGATAATTTCATCGGTGTTATGATGGTGGTAGTGTGTGTGATATGCTTGATTTGTTTTGTTACCTGAATTTTTTTTTCGTTTGATAAATGAAATTTTTTTTTCTTTTTCTTTTTTGTTTTTTCACCATTTCATCTCATCTCATGATTGTGAAAATTGTAAAAAAAAAGATTTTCTATTTTCAATCACATCCACCATCAATTTGATTGATCAATTTTCAAACGTTGTGAATGAACTTTTGGTTATTTGGTTCTAATAATGATTACCTATTTTGATTGTGTGACCTGGCCCCGTAAAAAAAAGGTCCATGATGATGATGATGATGATTGTAATTGTCTGTTTGATGGGTGTATGCACATACACTTTATTGGGTGTTGTAATCCTATTAACGTTTGATAATTTGTTTTCTCGCTTTTTTTTGAATGAATTTGTTTTTAATTCAAAGTGTCCAATCGGTGGAAGAGGAGGAGGAGGTTAATTAGCATTTTGAAATTTGAATTGAACATTTGACCTCGACCTTATGTGATTGAAATATGATTTTTTATTTTTCGTTGTTAAATAGTCTATAATTATAGCTGTATTTTAGTTAGTTTACATGATAACTAAATGAAAATTATCATATTATTATTATTATTGAAAGATTGAATGAATGAAGAAAAAAATTGTCAGTTTAATTCATCGGTCTATTGGCTACTGGATCTTTTTGTTTGTTTCTTTGCTGTTGATGGTGGTTCTGGAACGACTTTGATTGATTGATTGATTAATCGATCATAATTGATGCGGGATCCATTTGTAGAAAAAAAATGTTTCTGTGAAAGAGTTTAAAATTTATCGAATATCGAAAAAAATGACCATTTCATGTCATTTTATCAAATTGCATGAAATTAGATGAAAATGAAATGAAATTGTGGGGGAAAGGAGAAAAAAAGGCAGATGTTTTTTATTTTTGCTATGATTTTTTGTTCCTGTTTATCATTTGTTCATCATCAGATTCTGAATTTATAAACAAATGTAATGAAAATTTGTAATCAAAATTAAACATGAATGAATTAATCATGTTGATAATGTCGTTGGAAAATTATCTCGAATTTTTTTTCCTATTGTAATGTATCCGCATTATTTTCATAAGAAAAAAATGTACTTTAAATGATTCCAAATTCACTTTTATCATATATAAATAATTGAAATTAATAATTTTGATTTTCTTTTTGTTTAATCATTATTCTTACCAGCTAAATCCATTTGAATAAGATTATTTTCGGTATTTTATAATGAAAAAAAATGTTCATTGATTTCCGGTTTATTTCTTATTCCTGAAACATTTCTGATCTGTTTTTATTTCGTATGAATATCTATTTCAACATTGGCTACGGTAAAATCATAATGGAAAATTGGAAACATTTTTTATCCTATTCATTAATGGTCACAAATATTATTATCGTTAATAAATAATCATCAAACAAACACACACACACACATTGTCCATCATTTAGATATGTTTGGTGGTGGTGATAGTGAATGCCACACACTTGGATTGGAAACCATTTTTTTTTCATTTCAATATTTATTCGTGACCATTCTTTTTGTTGTTGTTGTTGTTGTTTTGTTTGATTCATCGTTCGTTACCATCATCATCATCATCATCATATCCATATCATGAGAATGTCTTTTGTATGATTCAGTTATAATGTGGATGGATTCGTTTTGGATACACACAAATCATTCATAAAGATTGTAGACTTTTGATTTCTATTTCCATTTCCATTGGATCTAAATGGATGTTATGAAATCTCATTTCTCTGTGTGTGTGTGTGTATATAATTCATATATGAAAAAGATGTTTCGGCAATGTTGTTGTTGTTGTTGTCTTTTTATTTCTCCCAATTCGACTCGTGACTTAAATTTCTTTTATATATTTTTTTTCTTCTTATAAAGAAATATGAATTTAAACAACAACAACAACAACGAAAAGAAATTTTTCAAAATCAAATGCTCTTCCTTGATGATTCAATGATTCTCGGTGTGTGTGTGTGTGTGTGTGTGGATGTTTTTTTTTCTATCATTGAAATTAAACATTGTACATATTTTTGATATTTGAAATTGACCGAAAGTGATTCGCTTATCCTTCGCATGTCATTCAATTCGATTCGATTCATTCTTGTATTTTGTTATTTTTTTTCTTCTTTATTTTGTTTTGTTTGATTACCTCACATTCAGAAACATATTTGTTGTTGTTGTTGAATTTATAAGCATCGATCATTTGTTGTTTTCGTTGTTTGACGGCCATTTGAATGACATACAAATCTATCTGATTTGAAATGAAATTTTGCTATTCTTTTTTTGTAGACTAAAACAAAAAACTTTCCGGAAATAAAAATCTTGCGAAACTTTTTTTTTGTTGTCCAGATTGAATTCTTTGTCTGTAAATAAAATGTTTTGACATTGACTGATTATACCTATAAGATTCAATGTGATATGATCAAGTTGTTCATTATTTTTGACGATTACTGAATTCTGCTTTAGAAAAACAATTTTTTTTTATTCGATCAAAATTCAATTCGATTGGATATTCAATGCTATGAATAATGTTGAATACCAATTGAATTTGCATTATGATCAACATCATAAAAAATTTGGGATATTTTTTTCATTCATTCATTAATATTGGCTACCGTTTCTGGTTCTCTTTCTCTCAATCTATTCATTAATAGATTTTGATTCATCATTTTTTTTTCTTGATTCTTTTATCATATAAAAACCATTCAAAATCAAGTCAATGAATTTGATAAATTACCTGATTTTTTTTATTCGATCAATCTATATGCCTTTGGCATTTGCATGCCATTCATACAACAGAATTTTTATATTCTATTGACAGTGATATTTTGTATTATGAAACGCACGTACGAATTTCATACCACATTAACAAAATCACGCGTTTATTTTGTCTGAAAAATAATACAGTGTTATCTGGAATATTTCGGAAGAAGCTAGAGAAAAATAAACGTGAACAGGATGCATACAACAAACTTGCGATACTATTACTATTGTTTTGTGGAACTGTCAATCGGATTGTCTTTCTCGATACGAGAAAAAAATCCATTGAATCATCCGAAAGACACACACACATGCAAAAGTCTCACGTAGATATTTGATGTCATTTTATCCGATTTTTTTTCTTTTTCTCGTTTTGTTTTATTTTTCATCTTTTTCCTCTCTCTCTTTATTATAAGCCAACGTTTGTGTGCATTTCAATCGAAAAGAATTACGATGGAAAAAAATCCCAAGATCCGACACATCCGATATAAGTCCCATAGGTACTTTTCTTCCACCCACACAAACCAACCAACCAACCAACCTACCAACATACATTGCTCTCTTATGAGCTATATTTACACAATATGATTCAAAATTCTTTTTGTCTTTTTTGCATCATTGGATATCGATGTTATATTTGACATCGTAGTATGACTATTTTTTGCTTTTAAATTCGCTTCAACGGAATTTTTTTTTCGAAAGAAAATTCGCTTTCATCAAATTTTATGTCTCGGTGTGTTTATTTCCGAATAACATCATCATCATCATATCGTTATGAGAATTCGATCCATATAAGAAATGTGTGTGTATAAAGAAATAAAAATCGTTGATATCGATATGTTTGATGACTTTAGAGATCAACAGACAACAGAAAAAAAAGATCAATCGTAGTTTATGTTTTTTTGTTGTTGTTGTTTCATCTCATTTTTTCATCCCATTGATTCGAAAAGTATCTGGGTTTTTTTCCTATCTAGATTTTCATTTTGTTTTTTTTTCGTTTTTTGTTTCGAAAGAATTTAAGATCATCATCATAGATCTCCTGGATGTTTGTGAATTTTTCTTTTTTTTCCATATATTCGTTTTAAGTGTGTGTGTGTTTGTTGTGTGTGTGTGAGTACACAAATTCCAAATACAGACAAACAGTACAAAATACGGATTCAAAACATTTTTCGATTCGGATGTGAACATTTACAGCTGTTGTTGGCATCAATGTTCAAATGTTTCATTCTTTTTTCAGTACATTTTTCCTCTCGTTCACTCTTGTTTCTCTATAGTTTCCGAATTCTGATCTACCAGAAATAAAAATTTTTGTTTTTCCACAAAAACAAAAAACAAAACGAACGGTAAAACATTGAAAACATTATCAATCTGTTCATGACACTTTTTTTTTAGTAGAACCAAAACCAAAACTAAACACAAAATTTGCAATCATTCGCTATATGAATTTACAGAAGTTTTTTTTTTGTTGCAGAAACCCTGCTGCTGTTTTTTCTTTTTTGGTTTCCAGTTTTTTCGCTGTCAATCATCAACAAAAAAAATCGGTTTCCATTTGATTTGTTTTACAAATCATTAACAAACTTTTTTCCCTATTCCGAAACAAACAACAACAGCAATCTTTTTTTTTCTTTTTTCTTATCTGAATTTTATTCTTTAACTACTAAATTAAAAAAATATTAACTCTTTTTTTCGTTTTTTTTCTAGATTCAAAAAAATCCACATCATTAACAACAACGACGACAACAGCAACTAAACGTTTACGACGAAATGATTTATTAGACGATTTAAAGCGTCATCCAAATAATATTGATTCGAATGAACAAGATAACGATAACGATGATTTTTTTTCAGGAAAAAAATGACAACTGTTTTTTAATGATTAAATGCTACCACTATTGCCGAAATCATTGTATACAACAAAAAAAAAAGATGCGGGATTTTGAAATTTATTGAAAACGATAACGATTGATAGCAATGGCTGTGGTGTGGACCTATCTTGATCATATCTTTCAGTGGGAAAAAAATGATTTACACCTTGGGTCCTTTTTACAAACGAGATTATCATCGATTATTACGCACACAAACACTTATATATAAACACTTGTTGGATTTTGACAAGCAATTTTATATGTAATAAATATGAATTCACACACACACACACACACCGACTTTTATCAAACTTAATAACGAATGGACAAAATGGACAAACAGTAATCATCATCAACGATGATCATCAATGATGTATTTTCATATTTACTGAATTTTTCTTTGAAAAAAATTTCCATTTTTCATATTTGGATCTAATCTTTAATAAAATATATATATTTTTTGATTAATACGTTGTTTTCATTTGTTTTTGCCCATATATTTAATGATGCGACCACCATTGAATCATAGCAATGACATTGATCATCTTAAAATGATAATTTTTTTTTGTTATTTAAACAAGATACTGAATTCTTTTTCTTGAATAATCTATGTGAAAAAAAAAACATTATCATTTATCAACAGTTTGTGGCTACTTGTTTGGTTTGATGAAGAGGAGAGTGAGAGAAAAATCCAATCATTTATAATAGGGACAATTTTTTTCAAAAATTTCAATCAAATGAATAAAATCAAAATTTTTCAAAAGAAAAAAAAAATCAAATCAGATTCTGTGTGTATACATTACACGCGTGTATTTTTTGCGTTCATCGAAATGATTTATTTGGACCCTTAGGAGAAAATTCATTCTCGAATCAAACCATAGACATACAGAAACAGCAACAACATCTGAGAAAAGCGATATAGCGAATGGTGATGATGATTTATCGACAATGAACCGAGAAAGAAAAACATTTAACCTCGAACTATGAAAAGTCATTTGTCTCTTCTTTATTTTTTTCCTTCTCTTTTTGTTGTTGTTGTTGTCTGTTGATCACCAAATATTAAGTTGGTAACAAATGACGATCCTCAGTGAATAGATAGATATAGATAATATATTCACAATGTACCACACCATAAACAACAAAAACAACAACAAAAAACAACATTTGACTGATTACTATCTCTCAATCTTCGAGAAAAAAAGTAGTATCGAATTGAATTCTTCTCTTTCATCGGATGATGATGATGATTCGATCATTGATCTTGATGATGATAATGGTGGTGATGATTATAGATTGATAATAATAAAAAAATATTCTCGTTCACAGCAGTATGGCACACATCACACACCTACTGACATTTGACAATCAATAACAAATCATCGCCTTTGATTGAAAAAAAAGAGAAAAGAAAATGTATAAATTTGTTATCTTATTTCATATACTGTTCATCATCTACATTGTCCAGTAGCCGGCAAAATAATCTTTGAATTGTTTATCTTGTTTGATTTTACATTTCCAAGTCAATCTTGAAATTTGATTAGATTTTTTGTTTCATTTATTTTGTTGTTGTTCATATAGGCAACAACAAACTGATTCCTTGATGATGATGATGATCAAAATCACAATTCTTATGGGCCATACCCAGATATGATAAAATTATAATAATTTTTTAATGTTTGAATTGAATAATTTTTATACATTCACCAGATACATTTCCCGGATCTTTACCTTGTCAATTGTTTTGTTTTGTTTGTTGTTTTAGATCCATATTTTTATTCTAACTGACTGGCCTACCTCCTACCCAGTCGTTCATCAATTTCGTTGATGATGATCAACAAAGTTTATGAATATTTCAATGAAAATGATCAAAATAGGCCGCCTGTAGTGGTAGTGTTGATTACATTTTTGCATTTTTTTTTGATGAAACGTTAATGAAAAATTTGTATAAGAATAAATTCTTGTTGTTCACACATATCTGATGATGATGAAGATGATGATCCTGATCATTGAATGATACCTGAAGAAAACATCATCGAAAATGAACCAATTTATAATGTTGACTATATGGATAACAGCAACAACAACAACAAACATCAACCAAAGAAAAAAAAACGGCAGCCGCAATCAACATATATAGAGAGATATGCACCACATGGCTTCTGGGTTTTGCTTTTTTAAATTTGTTTTTTATACTGACTCTTCTTCGATCCATTTAAAAATGATAATAATGTTGATGGTTGGGATCATCATCATCATCATTCTAGAAATTGGTTTTTTCGTTCATTCATCTCCTCCCATCATCTTTTTATTTTTGAAAACCTAAAATCTTCAACGCTCTTTCATCTTTGACTGATGATGATGATGATGGTTGATGAAAAATTTTTTCATCATCATCATTGATGGTCGATGAGAAGCGGCATTTTTCATATGACCGCCCGTCTTGAACGAATGAACGAAATAAAATATCAAAAATTAGTTCAGAGAAAAAAAAGTAGAATACAAATGTTATCTTCAAAGTTATTTGATGTTTATCTGATGATTTATTTGATATGATCTATTATAGGCTCATTTTTGATTTCAACTTTAAATTAATTCAGGTTCCAGAATTTTGTTTTTTTTTTTTTGCATCAACATAATGTCTATGTGGTGATTTGATGAGCATAGCAAAAGACATATGTGTAACTTGATGAGTATCATGAATTTCATCATGGTAGTCGTCACTCATGTTGGACATTTGATCGAAAAAAATTATCTAAAAAAAAATCTAAATTTAAAAAAAAATCAATCCCACTGACATGGCTATGAAGATGATATGTGAAAAACAATGAAATTCAGAATCTTGAATCACATCAAATGTCACGATGTCGACATGTTTGACATTTGATTATCATCACAATCATCAAGTGTTCTCAATATAATTGTGTAATCATGAAAAGGATGTGACGCCAAATTTGAAATTTTTTTTGTTACTTTTCAATCAACAACAACAAAAAACATTCGTGGATATTGTAACTAAAAATAAATATTCATTTTTTTTAGACATTTGGATTATGACATGAATTTTTTCTTTTTGTAACAAAAAATCATTGGATAGCCATTATTCATAACACACACACACCAAATGATTGAATGATGGCTCCATGCAGTTATTTTTTTCTTTTTTTTTGGATGTTCACAGCACGTTTCCATTGTAAAAACATATGTAGTGAAAATTTGTCATAATAAAATTTTGTCAAACATATATGTTATCAAACGGGGTTATTATTATCAATGTTGATTATGATTATTGTTGGATGATGATCCAACCAGCCAGCCATTGATTTATGATAATAATAATTATTATTATTATCTAATACGATGATTCAATTGCTTGTAGATTGAAACACCTACTTTCGTATTAATCATTTTTTTTACTTTATTATTCTCGATGTTTTCTTTTGAGTTGCCTCCTTTTTTTTCATTTCCAAGAAAATATGATAATGATGATGATGACGATGAATACAATTAACTTTCGCTTCATTATTTGGGCTTGGCCATTTTTGGATTGCTTATTCACAAAATATCTTATTTTGGTACGTTTCGTTTTCATGATGATCATGGACATCGGATTGGTTGTTCCATTCAACGAAAAAAATGAAAAGAAAATAATTCATTTCATTCCATTAATGAATGAAGAAAAAACAAGTCTAAAATGAATGAAAAGCAAAACGAAACGAAAAGTCGATTATTATTACACTGAATAAATCTGAATTAATAATTTTGTTTTTAATTTTTTTCTCCACAAATTTACTTATTGTTTCCCAATGTAAATCTCGTCTTAAACAAGAAAACAAGTTGATGAAGAATTTTTTGTTTTTTTTTGAATAATTTTTTTCCATGAATTTGTTGTTGTTCTTAAAATATAATAATCATTATAATGATGATCATCATCATTAGCTTTTCTCTCTCTCTTTATTTTCAAGATTAATTGGTTTAAAAGTTGTTTGTCCGATCTGATTTCCAAAAACAAAAATCAATTTCACAATTTAATCATCAATCGTTGTATAATGTTGTTCAAGAAAAAAAATGAATGAATGAATGAACAATGCAACAGAAACAAATTTTTTTGCTCAATGAAGAATGTTGATCAATTATTTTTTGGAAACGAACGCAAAAATAAACCAATGATTCTTTAATGATGATGATGATGATGATCCAGAAAAGTTGAAATTTAAGGCCATCGGCTAATTTTCAAATGTAAAAAAAATGAATGAATGAATTTTTCTTTCCCCTTAACAGAAATGAAAGGAAGTTAATTCTGATTATTGAATGAATTTTTTTTTTTGAAAAAAAGTTGTTATAGTTTTTTTCTGTTTACTCTGAATATTTTCCAAAACAAAAAAAAATTCATTTATCAAGTGTGCAAAACAAAAACTCCAGTTCTCATTCAGTATCATCATCCTTGTTGTTGTTTTGTTTTGATCTTCGATATGATGATAAGATTTTCCATTATACAAATGAAATGACCATCATCATCATCATCATCACCATCATCATTTTTTTCTATATTCCAAAATTATTAATCATAATAAGAATCAATGTCCAAATGGTAAGAAGTCTATCGATAGTTATCCATCGATAGACATAAAGGATGAAGGTGGAAAACAAAATTTTTCTGCTACATTTTTTGTTTGTCCATAATAATCTGTCTCAATTTTTTTTGATGTGTAAAAATCTTAATCATAATCACTATATGATTTTGATTTGAAAAATCCATCATTCATTGATTATTATTTATTGTTGCTTTGTGTGTCCATTTTGTTGAAAATAAAAAATGATAAATTATCATATTTCGATCTTTAAATATTGATCAAAAATCAAATATTATAATCTTTTTGTTGGTTACATGAATTATGATCTTATGTCCATTTTTGAATGATCCTGATCATCAATATATTGAATCGATTTCCTTTTTTTTCGACTATCGATTTCAATCAATTCTAATTTGTCTAAGGATAGGATAGATGTAAAAAAAATCATCAACAACAGAATCCATATATATTTGAATGGTCAATATATAATTAATGATGCGAAAAAAATGACAAAATCATTATTTTTATGATAATAATGATGATGATGATGATGGTAATCATTGAAGTGTGTCCATTTCTTTCTTTCATTCGTTTTTTTTCCACAAATGAATACCACTTATATAATCTAAGATTTTCTAGATTTGAAAATAACTTTTTCATTCATAACAATAATTAATAATGGCGATCACCCTAAACGAGAAAAAAACGAGCAGAAAAAACATAATCACCTCTAACCTATGATGCAAAAAACAAAACAAAACAAATAACCTAACCGATTATTACGGATATTGAAACCAAACAGAAAAAACTTTGTCAAACTTTGCTTTCCTTTAAAAAAAAACAAACAAAGATAAACAAAACATCATTTGATACGATTTGGTTGGTTAAATATATCAATTGGTATTGATCATTCGTGTTAAAATAAAACATATGATGATGATGACCATATAAGACAATGGATCAAAGAAAACATAATGATTTTTGTTTTGTTTTGTTTGCTCCCATGATGATGATGATGATGATAACCGATGTCATGGTCGACGACCGATATCCACGCTGATGATGATGATATGGATCATTTCATCATTGATTCATATGTGCCATACAATATGGGTATTGAATTTCATTGAATAATTGAATAAATGAATGATTCAGTGAAGAAGAAAACAAAACAAAACAAAAAAAATGACAACAAACTTGGTGGCCAAAATTGAAATTGAATTACATTCTACCATTAAAGAGAATATAATCGAAAAACAAAACAAAACAAGAGAAAACCAATTGGCCAATCGGAACAACCGACGCAACAAAACAAAAAAATCAGTCAATTCAATTCAAATCGAAGAATTCGAGAAAAAAACAACTGACCCGAATAAATGTGTATGTTTAAATTAATTGCCATTGTTTTACTATTATTTTTTTTGTTTGCCCAAAACCATCGATGATTTTTTTTTGTTTCGAGTTTGAATTTCCGTCCATTTTTTCTCATCATCAACATCGACCATTGATGATGATGATCTTTATATGGACAATTTTATTCGTTGATATTTAATAGACATCATCATCATTGAGCTGATCATCATATGCTACCAGTTAGTAAAACAAAAAAGAGAACAAAAAAAAATTCCAGTACAGTCGTTTTATTTTATTTTATTTTCAATTCGAATTAATTTGATTTTATTTTCAAAATTCTATTTCAAAGATTACTTTTTTTTTCTCTGTATATGATATGTCATTTAAAACAGATTGCCTACCAAAAACGTTTATTACGCATTTTGACATTCGATATTTGATTCGAATCTATTTTTTTTCTCTCTCATTTGAAAATGGGCAAGATAAATTTATTTTTTTCTTTCATTTTCTTGGGATTCCAATCTGGATTTTTTCCTATGGAAAATTGTCATTCTCTGTTATGCTTGTTCGCAATTCTTATTCACCTCTTATTATGTCATTGTTTTTGTTTTCCAATAGATTCTTATGGTTTCAAAGATTCGATTTGTCGTTTTTTTTGTTGTTTTGAAAACTGTATATTTAATGACTTACCATTATCATTGTCTGGATTGGAAAATATTTTTGTTTTTCGTATGAAATAAAAATCATTTTGGAAAGATATTCTGGGGAAAAATGAAACTATCTGTCTCATTTTATAAAGAAGAAGGTCAATAATGAACACACATTTATGAATGAAAATATAATCAACGAAAATTGATGTAAACTTTTAATGCCTATCCATATAATAATGTCATTTGATTGAGACATTTATTTTTTTCATTGTTTTTTTTCTGTTGAAATTATTATTGGAACAGATGACCAGTTGTCCATTGCCGGTACACTTTTACAGTGAAAGTGAAATTTGGATTCATTTCAATTAATGAAAATTGTTTTTTTTTCATTTTGAAATGTTTTTCCTAATATTATGGTTGAGTATTGAAAAAAAACAACAAAACGACAGTCTTGAAAGTTTTTCATTCACCTTCATATTCTTTAATAGCGAAAAACTTAACGGGAAAGGTTTTCGGTCATTAATGATTTTCTCATAGAACTACCAAAATTCATTCATTTATTCATTGCCGTGTTTTTTTTCCAACAAGATTCAATCACTATTTAAACGAAAATGGATACGAACAATTTAAATTAATAACATCGATAAACATCCAAACAAAAAAACAATAACTATAAATGGATATTGGAATTGAATAATTGAACCCCCCCCCAAAAAAAAATGATAATTGAATCGAATCAAACATACGGTTTGTAGTAAAATAGTAGATTGTTTTTCAGATCTTTTATCGGTTTTTCAATGAAATTGATGACGAAAAAAAAAACGAAATGAACAATCATCACTTTTATGATGATGATGATTGTCGCCAAATAGTTTCGCGAAATAAGAATTGAAAATGATCCAATCAACTTTTAACCGGCATTTAATTTCACAATATTACTGATAATGATATTTATTATGAAATGGTTCAAATGGTTCACCATTATTTTTCTTGAAAACAACTAAATAAAAAACAAAACAAAAATGGTAGAAAGAAAAACCAATCAAATTTGGCAAGCAAAGCTAATCATCATTATCATCATCATCAATTTTTTTTCATCTCTCTCTCGTTGATTCCAATTCATTTTAGAACTTGGAATTTTTCTTTCCTGAATGGCGATTATTTAAGTTGACAACAAAAACTGAACGAAATGAATGGAACTCTTTTTGAAACCGAGAAAGTTTTTTGTGTTGGTAAAATCTCATCATCATCAAAAATAATCGTTTTTTTCACCAGCACAATCGAACTACCGAATTCGAATTACAAAACAAACAAACAAATGGAATTCAATTCAATCGATCTTTCAATCATTATCATTATATTCGAATATCGACAAACAAACAAAAAAATTGAACAAAATTTTGAAAAATTTCAACAATAATTTAAAATTTTCATAATCATCATCATTAAAATTTTATTTTATTGTCAATTTTATTTTGTTTAATTTGGTTTATTATTCATCATTTTCGTGGTGACAAACAAACATTCGGGATGAGAGAAACAAATGAGAATTGGTAATTTGATGAATTTTTTTTGTTTTTGTTTATTTACAAAGAACATTCGGGAAATGATTCATGAATCCAAAAAAAAAATTATAATTTCAGGATATGGGTGTTTGTGTGTGTGGGTGTATTGTTTGTTTGTTTTTCATTTGATTTTATTATGTCATTTTGATAATAATGATGAGAATGATGAATAACGAATTGATATTATTATCATCATGATGAAATAGATAGCAAGAAAGAGAATGAGTGAAAGATAAATTTAAATAGGAATTTTTTTTTTTGTTTGCAGAAAATTTTCATTTGTTTTTCTTTTTTTGGTGCACGTCATTGATGTATCATTGTTTGTTCCTGTTTTTGTGTGTGTGTGTTGGTTTGTGTATATTACATATCAATCATAACTGAATCGAACCATCATCATTTACATCATGCAAGTATTTTCAAGTATTGATTTTCAACAGATAAAAATAATTCAGATTGAATTATCATCATTTTCTGTTCGTTCATAACAATTCTTTAAAGTCATCATAATAATCGATGGATGAATGAATTTTGCAAGGAAAAAAAACATGAATTTAGTTATCACAGACATGGACATGTATCTTTTTCCCAACATCATTTTCTCATTTTTGTATTTGCATTGCGTTCCTTCTTTATGTCCGTACAAATTGTTATAAATGTTGAATGAAATACTTGTTGTTAGGAACTGAATTTCAACTGTTTGTTTGCTTTCAAAATAAGCTTGATAATAATTACCAATATATCGATCAGAAGAAGAAGAAGAAGAAGTGATCAATTAATGAATTATATTTAAATAAAATTTATTTCATTTTTTCATTTCACTCCAATTTCTCATTGCCATTTTGTGTAGTTATTATGTGGAAAAATAATAAATAATTTTACGTAGGTGTCAATCAATGATGATGATCTGGTGAACAGTAAATAAGAAGAGAGGCTTGTGATTGAATCTATCCTACTTGAATTGATGAACATTTGAATGATGTGAATGATGATGATGATGATGATAATGATAATAAATGTTGAGCTGCTGTTTGTATCATATGTTGTTTGTTTGTTATATAATGTATGTATTCAAAGAATGCTGTCTTATCAAATGTTTAAATCGTGTGATTAATGGGAAAAATGATCTTTAAGAAAATAATGATAATAACAGGCAAAGATTGAATGAAAGGAAATTTCGCATCTTAGAATAATGATGATGAAGAAATCAAGCAAACTATTCTTGTATTTATTTATGCTTGTGTGTGTGTAGGTGTTTACTGTCTATATCAATCAATCAATCAATATTTGATGTTCAATAATATCAATATATATAGGGATTATGTTAATGAGAAGAAATGTTATGATGATGATTTAATGATAACGATGAAAACAAATACAATTAGAAGAAGAAACAACAATAAGAAGAAGAAGAAGAAGAGGGAAAAAAGCAAAGAATAATGAGAAAAAAAGTTAATTTTTTTTCCATTAAATAGTAATTATTGTCATTAAGTTTATTAGGATTTGAAAGTGATAGGTTTGTTGATGATGATGATTTTTTTCTATAAATTAAATTCTTCACCATACAGGTGTTTCAGTCATTGTTGAAAATGTTGGTGGACCAGAATTGGCTGAATTTGGTCGACCAAATGTATCTGGTGTCATTGATGATAGACTTAATGAACCAACATCACCACCACCAACACTACTACTTGGTGATACTGAATTTCTTGATTGACCACCGGCAGCTATCATTGAATCTGGACCTAAACTATTTCCAGATATGAATGGAGCATCAGCACCAAGATTTATTATTCCTATGTAAAAGACAGACAGAAATAAAGAAAATATTCAAAATTGAAAATGTTTTTTTCTAATTAAAAATTATTAAATCACAATCTTACCTGGTTGATGAATGTTTGATCCTGGTTCATGCATGTTTGGTGCAGATGTAGGTGGTGGTACTGATGCCGGATGACTATTTGGTCCGGATGGAAATGGTAGACCACCATTGTTATTTGAATTTGGTACACCATCTGAAGGTGGTCCAGGAGGTGGTGGTGGTGGACCTTGACCTTGTGGATAAAAATCAAAATAACCAGATGATGAATGTGAAGGAGGTGGTGGTGGAGGCGGTGGTCCATTAAATTGAAATTCACTTGGATTACTTGAATCTATTCAAATCGATGATGATCGATCATTTTTCCCAAGACATGAAAGAAAAAGAAAAAGAAACAAAAATGAATAAAAATATGAATATTGTGGTGAATAGGGGGGAAAAAGTTTTATTGAAAGAAAAAAAAACAATTTATCTATCGATATATTTCGTGATGCTAACTTGTAAATTCATTTGATCAACATCATCATCATCATTTTTATCTTCAAACCAAAACAAAACCAAAAACCCTGAACATTGGTCAGTTTGATCATCTATCAATCATTTGTTTGAACAAAAAAAAATAGTTTGTTTTTTACATTCAATGTTCAACATCAAACTATTGAATAATTAGTCAAATTGAGAGCATTTTTGTTTTTTTGGTTGGAGAAAACCTGAATTGATTCTGTAACTAATAGCAAGCCTTAAATCATCATCATCAACATCGGTTTTTGGTCAGAGATGATTTAACTTTTTTTGGTCATCATCGTCACAACAACAACAACAACAACAACAACAACGATAACAACAACAACAAATTAGTTTGCTAGGTTGTTTTATCATTATTTGTACACCAATCTATTTTCATCTATCTTTTGGTTGATGTGGTGCAAAAATATTTTTTTTTGTTTTTTTTACCTTAAACGCGAGCAAAATAAAATTAGAACAACAACTGAATGTTCAACAAGAAAAAAAAATGTAACCGCGCGCGCGGCTTTATCATTTTTTTTACCAACAAAGTTATGATGATGATGATGAACCCGAATATAAAAGGAAATCTGGTCGATGAAATGAGTAAAATAAAAGAAACAAAACGAAAAAAATGTTTCTAAAGTTTTCTACACAACCAAGATGACATTGATGGATGTGTTTTTTTCATTCTCCAAGTTTGGGTAATAGGACGGTACAAACAACAACAACAACAACGATAAAAAACTAAACTGGCCAATTCTGTTTTTGTTGTTGTTGTTGTTTTTTTTTTGTTTTCAATTTAACCGATGAACAAAATCAACCAAAAAAAATATAAGTAATGAAGAGAAAAAAATAAGTCAATTTTGAATGTTTTCTTCTTCTTCAATTGCTGAATATTTCGATAGGCAATGGCAAATGGATATTTGAATGATGATGATGATGATGAGGCACTCCTTCATCGGAATAAGAGTAACTTTGAGTTCAAATTTCGATATTAAAGTTTTTTCAGAAATTTTTTTGGCCAATTTCATTATTTACTTGCTACTTTGATTTGGTCAAATAGATTTTTTCTTGATTCAATACATCATCGATTTGTGTATGATCATCGATTGTATGTGTCGCACTTGAAAGGTATTTTTGTGGTAGAAAAAAATGAATTATATTCAACATGGAAAAAAAATAAATTGCCATGAAAAAAAACCGCAATCAATGTTCAATGATGATGGTTAATGTGCCTTCGGTGCCTGGTCAAAGGTTATGACCAGGCAACAACAAGAACAACGATAAGAAAAAAAAGCGTGACTTGATTTTTTTTCTCTCAAAACCAAAATAGGCAACAACAACAACGATATCAGAATATTGAATCGATCACAAATATAAAACTGATATATATAGCTTCTGATAATTTAAAAATGTGAAAATAACCAAGAAAATCAAAGAAAATAAAATTGCGTGATGCTTAAAAACAAAAACAAAAAATGATGCGGCTATGAAACAATAACAACAACAAAAATGATTGTCGGTTGGATTGAATGTTTTGCTTTTGATAATTCTCAATTTCAAAAACATTATTGACAACAAATTTGACTACCGTGATTTTCCACTGACAAGGTGATCGGAAAAAAAATTAAATTTTGAAGAATTATTTGAAATCGAAACTGACAACAGTAGAACAAAAAAAAGGGAAAAAATTGATTTCCAATAATAATTGTCTCTCTCTATTTCTTGTTTTTCACCCTGTCAAATATCGAAAAAAAACTCTTCAAACACACACACACATATACACCGGAATTATATGGAAACAACAAAATTATATTTGGATCATAAATTCACACGCAATCAAATGATTCAGAATAGAAAACAACAACAACCAACTGAAAAACTAAACATAATCTTATTCGATATTCGATTTTATCATTATGATAAATGGATCAACAAAAATAAAAAAAACTCCGACCACAATCATTGATTGTTAGCCAATCAAAATCGATTTACAAAAAAATAAAAATAAATGAAAAATAATATCATAAACAATGTTGTTGTAAACACATTTGAATAAATGCAACAACAACAACAGAAAAAACGAGAACAAGAAAAAGAAAATCAGCTCTATATATAAGAGGCTTTTCATCATCATCACCATCATCATCTGACAGCTTTGATTCTTGTTCTTGTTTGAATTCTCATTCATTTATTCGTTTACACGCGATGTTCATGATGATGAAGAAGGATCATGAAGTAAAGAAGATTGAAACAAGAACAAAACAAAGTTATTTTGGGTGCTGTGGCTGCTGTTATTTAAAATCATCATCATCATCTTTATTTTAAACTATTTACAATGATTATTTTATATAGAGTATTTTTTTTGTTGTAATTTTACAAATGTTTACCAGAACTACTTCTGTACAATGTTACAGATTTATTAATTGATTGATTTGATTTTTAATTTTTGATGAAAAATTAAAATAAAACAAAAAATAAATCTATATTGCCAAACCCGATAAAAGTTGAATCGGGAAAAAATGAAATGGGGATGCCTAGCCTTTTTCAAACACTGTTGAAAAAGGAATGGATGGATGAAAAGATTGGCCGGATCATCATCATGATCATCTTCAATCTTTTTTTTCGATCTGATTTTTGTTTTCTGGTTTTCAATGAATATTACATATATACTGTATACCCACGAATGATAATTAATGATCTTTTGGCAGTGTGTAACTGATCGATCGAAACTATATGTATATGAAAAATTTCAAAGCTTCTGCTGTTGCTTGCCTTTTTTTTGCTGTTTTTGTTCATCATTCATTGGAGCCGATCATAGCAATGGAAAAAAACTAGTGAAGAAAAGTATAGCCAATGTTTTCAGTGATTTTGAAGTGAAGAATTTTGTTTTTTTGTTCATCATACTATCGACATTATTATCTCTACCATTATTAACAATCTTTTTCTTCTTGAAACTAAAAAAAACTAAATATTTTTGTTGCCTCCACTCTGATTTCGTCGTTGGATTTCGTACACATTTCCTTGGCTAACCAACCATCCAGCAAATCGAAATGATTGAAAAAAAAGAAATTAAGAAATTGACTTTGCCAATAAAAATCAGGTCGAACCGAACAGTAAACAGTGGAAAATAAATAAATAAAGAAAAATTGACTGACCGACCGACCGATCAACCGAACAAACTAAGATGTAACGAATTGCAAAGCAAAATAAAGAAAGAAATCCGATAAATCATCAATTTTTGGGCGTAAAGAAATATGAAATCATTCTTTTTTTTTCCTACGAATGGTTTTTGTTCGAGCCAATTTTCCCCTAAATAATTCGATCATCTTGAGCAAAATTTTTTTTTTGAAATTTCATTTTATTTATAATCATCTGGCATCATTCAAATGAATTTCCATCCAAACAACGTTTACCGAAAATTATCAATCCGTTTATAACCAGTAAATTCATTCAAAATGAATAAAATAAAGTTTATTTTTTTTTTCAACGATAAATTATTCACCATCATCATTATCCGGGAAAAAAATGTACATAATGTTGCTCAAATTTAACTACTTTTTTGTTTCTTGGAAATCTTTCCGAAATTGATTCCGCAATTTTAATGAATAAAATTATTGCTGGTCAAACAAGCAAACAAAAAAAAAGAAAAAGAATGTTTTGGCTTTTTTCTTGGTAAACAACAAAATCATATTCATATATTGACCATTTTAATAGAGCTTATTGTTGTTGTTGTTTGTAGAGGATATAATTTCATTTTCAATTAAAAAACAAAACAATGGTTAAAGTATAAAAGACAAATTAAGGTGCGCCAAATGATCTAGGCAAAATATATGATAGGTCTAGTAATAGTTGGCCTGCCTTTTGAGAATTAAATCCATCTTGATCATCATCATCATCATCAACAGAGATCATTTAGAGATGTTCATTTTTTTGCATAAAAAATCGCTCATTTTTATACAGCAAAAAAAACAAATGAGCCAACACAATTGGTTGATGGTCGTGGCCTATTCTGTATATGAAGATTTGTAGGAAAATTTTTGCTTTTTTGCAATCTACTGATGTTTAGTTTGATGGATATAAAAAAAATGAAAATTCAAAAAAAAAATGGAAGCCAAATGAAAAATGAATGAAAAAAAATCGGAATCAGCAGGTATTATTTGTCGTGGTTATTTATTTATTTCGTTATGGTTATCACATAATTAACATGATCACCATCATTATTATTATTATCACCAGAAAATGATCGCACAAGAATTGTACAGGTGTCAAATATTTTTTTGCAAATTTTACCACCATTTATTATCACAAAGACAAGATGACATTTTTTTTACTTACACACTTTTCCTTCCCTCAAATCAAGATAATTTTCCAAAAAAAAAAACATTGACTCTATTCAATTTTGATAAGGACGAATATTTTTTGGCAACAATTTTTTCCATATTTTTTTATCCAAAGCAGACAATGTTTCCATAAAAAAATAGATTGGATACATTTGATATATCACACAACTAAAGTGAATCTTGATATTTTACGTTGGCATATTGTGAGCCACAACCACATCAGTAACTTGCCACACATCTTTTTTTTTTGCTTCTTTTGAAGAAAGTGAGAGAATTCTGTTGAAAAATTATTTAATTTTTCAGCAAAAAGTGAAAAAAATGGGCGTTACTTTCAGCTAAAGAAAGCGAATGTTTTGTACTTAAAAAGATTCAGAAAAAACTTTTTAAAACAAAATTTTAAAAACTAAAAAAAAAATTCAAAAATAAAAATAACCATTTTCGAATGATGATGTTTCAATGTTTTGCCAGACAAACAGTGAAATAATTCGCAAATCAAAGAAATATGTAACCAGATGTAAAGAGATTTTTTTGGACATCTGGATTCTGTTTGTCGAAAGAATCATCATTGATGATGATTATTGCAAATTTTTTAGGATTTGAAAAGAAAACAAATATCTAATGTCAATGATAATGAGAAAGAGAAAAAATGGATGAATCCATAATCCAGGAAAAAAAATGAATGAATTTTATTTATTGCCCATCATCATCGATATTTTTTCCCATATTTTTCTCGCACCACCCCCTCTTTTTGCTTATAAAAAAAAATCTTACCAATGATGATCACTTGGTGGTCATCACATGTATCATCAACATTAGTTTTATATTATTTCATTTTTTTTTCTCGTTGTCGAATAATAATTCATCATTCGACATCATCATCATCATCATCATCATGGTCATCATCACAATTCAAATGTAAGGCCACGGCAGGCGAGATATTACATTGTCCGCATACCAATCACGATTTTGTTTCTCTCTCTCTCTCTCTAGCTCTATTCTATTTCATTCTGTTTTTAGGAGAGAAAAAAACCAAAAGAAACATTCATTTGTTGTGTTATTCATCATGGCTAATATATCGTTATGTATATAGAGCAAATATCTTTTCATCCTCTCTCTCTATATGTAAAAATGTCAGATTCACATATGTGATTTTCTACGATTCTTTTCGATTCGTGTGTGTGTGTGTATTTGGTGGATATTAAGGGCAGAAATTTTTTTTTTTAATTATTACAAATCGTCAAGAGAAATGTTATTTCTGCCTTCATCCTACTCAATATTATTATTATTACTTAGGGTCCTAAGCTACCTATTTTGCGGTTTTTTCTCTCTCTATCTTCGTTGGTTACAAATCTCAATAGGATATTCAATAGTACAGTGTTGTTCATATGTCAAAATGCGTGTAGAATGCTCAATCATCATCATCGAAATCATCGAATGAAATTTTGAAAACAAAAAACAAAAAATCATGGACAAAGATTTTTCCATCATTTATGTTGATCATTTGATCTACACTATATATAGAGAGAAAGATATTAAAGATCATAGAAAAGAATAACACACACACACATACACAGATAACACAGAAGATAGATCGGATAGATAAAATGAACTACAAAAAAAATATGACAGGACAAGCGAACACGACACGACATCATCATCACTGTTGTTGTTGTTGTTGTTGATCACCACAAATTGGCCATAGTGTTGACATGTTCACATGACAAATGACCGATCATCATCATCATATTGAAATCGTTTTTAATCGTTGAAATATGATGGAAAAAAATAAGTTTTTTTTTCTTGTTGTTGCGATTCATAAAACTCTATATAGATCTCTATATGGATAATAATAATATTTTCATTAGTTTTTTGTTTGAAAAAAACAATGAATGATGATGGCCATATGATGATGATTGGTGAGAAATAAGCCATGCATTTCGTTTGTTCTCATTGATTCAATGTGATCCAAAATACAAACACACACTACATTTACCTGTGTGTGTGATGAAATAGTCAAAAATTAAATTGATCACTAAAAGATTTGAGAATCGGTATAGACAGGACGTTATTTATATAGAAAAACTAATAAATAATAATCAAATGGGAATAATGAAAAGAAAGCAGTGAAAAATAAACGAAATGAATCGACAACAAATGAATCAGTCGGAGGTCATCCTGTTCAAGAATTTAATTTCAGCATTTTTCCTTTTTATTGTTCTTTTTGTTTTATACGTGTATTTTACACGTGTTTTGTTATAATCTTTCAATCTAACAACATTTCCATCAAGCCAAATCAAATCTAATTGTAATCATTATCGATTTGTATTAAATGAGCTAAAGAAAATGGATGAATAAATCAATGAATAGGGAAAAAACTAAGAAAAACTACCGGTGTTTTTTTTTTGTTTTTTTTTTGATTGAAAATACACAATCCTTTACAGTTAATTATGTTAGATATATTTGAATATTTATAAATAGATAGATAGACATGATATTTTTATTCAAAATACAAAAGCATCAATCATTAAAATAACGGCAGTATCAACGTGATTATGATGATGATGGTGATCAGGGAAATCGATTGAATGCGTGATTAATTTATTTGCATCTTTGTTTTATTTTCACTCATGAATATATAGCCATGAATGAGCCATTGTGTATGTATGATTGTAATAGATAATACAATCATTGGACAATAATCATCATCATCATTATCATGCAAAACAATCGAGCATCATTAATCGTTCTGGTTGATCATGATCATGATGATGATCATCATCATTATTTTACCAAAGAAAAAAAACGATACTTTTGTTGTTGTTTGCCATTCTACCATTTTCATCAATATCATCTATCATTTTTTTTTCATTGAATGGTCTGGTTATGGATAATCATTTTGGTCAAATATAGAAAAATAATAACAATAATAATAATCAGGATTGATGATTTGTTATTTTCCACTCAATTATGCAAAGGAACAAAAAATTCAGGAAGCAAAATGATTTGATTGAACAGAAAAAAACCAAAGAAGAAAAATAAAACTCATCATTGTTCGAAAAACTTCGGTGTGGAAATGTGATAGTCAAATTTTTAATCAAGAAAATAATATTGTTATCTATTGTTATCTTGATTTCTTTGCTATTGTAAAGAAATTTCCCAGGAAAAGAAATTGAAAAACTTACCGGAAAAATAACCAAAACCATTATTATGATTGGCCATTTCTGGACTATCTTCAAGACCATCCGGTGTCATACCAGGCCTTAATGGACGCATTGCACGACGATTATTGCGAAAAAAATGACGACGAGCACTGAATGAATTGACTTGTTTCATACGTCGTTCTTTACTACGGCGATTCTGGAACCAAACCTAAAAAAATAATAAAATTAGAAAAAAATTAGAGATCATAGTTCACAGTAATAAAGGAAAAACAAGTTTTAATTGAAAAATAATTCTTCTTTTGTGTTTGAATGTCGCGGTATTTGCCGGACAGTTGAACAAAACAAAATAAAAAAAATGCCAGAAGAAAAGCCGGTTATTTTATTTTATTTTTGCTTGCTTTTCTTCTTCATTTTCAACAAAACAAAACAAAACAAAATTCAATTCAATTCTTTATTTTTAGTTTTAGTTTTTTGTCTAAATCATTCATTCGTAATCATTCAACAAAAAAAAAAGATGTTTGCAAGTGTTTATGTCGTTTGCTGTCTCAAATGTCTGACATGTGCATACTCTTTTTTCTTTCTTTTCGAAAGAATAAGTAAAAAGAAAAGATTTCAATAACCGGGAATGAGAGAAGAGATTTTTATTTTTATTTTGATTCGAGCTAAAAATTCAACGATAACCAAAAGAAAGAAAAACATTTTCATTTCAACGAAGTAGAAAAAAAACTGAATGAATCCATCTATATGGATGATGTCTGCTACCCGAATGATAAGAACTCAGAATGATTGTGACAAAGCCACACACACACCGAATGACAAGAGGCAAAAAAAAAAAAGAATCCGAAAAGCAAGCAATGAAAACAACAACAACAGAAAATCTTTCAAACAAGAATTCAATGATGACGAATTTTCTGTTGATTTTTTCCTATTGTCACACAGAATGAATAAAGAATCTTGATGAGGATGATGATGATGATGACATTTGGGTTTTTCACACATCCTGGATGGATGCGGCGTTTTCTTTCTTTTTGTTTGTTTGGTTGTTAAATATAAGATCAAAAATCATGGAACAAGGATAGGAAAAAGAATCTGCGATTCATTCAAAAAAATGGCTAAAACAGAGAATGCGGTAGAATTTATCATTTTTTTTCAACCCTCAAACAATGATGCAACCAGGAGAAACCAACGAAAAAAAAAATGAATGAATCACTGTGACCGATCAAACGATCAATAAAAACATAAAGAGAATAAAAATACCTTTTCGACATAAAAAAAAAGTAATTCATCTTTTCACTGTCTCTATCGTTTTATTTTCGTGAAACATAATAAAGATGAACCAGAACTATGGTTTTCGCTCCCACCACCACCAAAAATATGTTAGGATGTTAAACTAAAACTAAAATAGTGTAACGATATATGATATGAACCTGGTAAACTGTTTTTTTTTGAATGATGATGAAAAGAATCCAAAAAAAAAAATGTATAAAATGAAAGAATATCGAAGGTCTTCGTTTAGGGTTTTTTTCCTCATGAAACTTTATTAATGCCATAACAACAATAAAAAAAAAGAAAAAGAAAAATATTCTGGTATTGATAGAAAAAAAAGAATGTACACACATGAAATGATCCAGAAATGAACAACAACAACAACATCATTCCATATGGATAGTTCAAACATCGACAACAGCCAGTCAAGAGAAAAAAACGAGGAAGTAGAGAGAGAGATAGAAAAAAAATGGCAAACATTTACCATTACACAACACAAAACATTATTATTGACAATGAATAATGTGTGAACCAAATTCCTTCATGCCAATTCATCTTTTTCTTTTTCTTTTTTTGTTATTATTATTATTCCTAGGTTTCGAAATTTTTTTTTTCTTCTTTATCCTCATTTCTACTAAACACCTCTTTCCATCATCATCATCATCATTACAAATGTTTAGTTACATTCTGATTGAAATTTTTTTCCTTTCTGGTGTTGGTGTTTTCATGTTGATGAATTTTCTTCTCTCTTTACATTTCATAGAATCATGAACGATGATGATGATGATGATGATGAAAATGATGATAGAAAGCTTTACCCAAAAAAAAAAGAAAGAAAGACTATTAACAGATCCAGTGTATGTTGCTGTTGTGTGGTGAAAAGAAAAATTCTATGAATTTTTTCATTTCATTTTGTTGTTTGGTTGCAAAACGAATGAGAAATTGTATCTAAATAGTGTCTTGATTCATGTTACATTATTGTACAAGAGAGAGAGAGAGAGAGAGAGAGAGAGAATTTTTCCAGAATTTTTCAAGAATCTGAAAATTGTAGTTGAAATTTTTTTTCAGTTTTTGTTTATGTTCTACCAAACGCACATTCAACTGACATTCCAGACCTAATAATTACCCGGAAAAAAAACATTGAATTCAATATGTGAATAAAATTTTGTATGTGTGTACTTGTGAAGTATGCATTTAAAATTTTCATTGAATTTGTAAAAAAAAAATGTTTTCTTTTCTTTTTCTTCATATGTTTTACATAGGAAAACAAACACTGTATTTTTTTCTACTTTATCTAAATGATTTTTTGGCCATTGAAAGAATTGAAAGAATTTTTTCATACAAAATCAGATTTAGAATCCTAAATTCAAGAGAGTTGTTTGCCAAGAGAGAAACTAGCTAGTGTATGTTGTCCATTGTCCAGAAATAATGTTCAATGATCATCATTATCATTATAATTTTATAATGATGATGATCATTTAATAGCATCATAAATTGAAATTGAAGTGAATGAAAAACAACGAAAACAAGAACAAGCTAATTCATATGTGAATGGAATTTTGTTTTGTTTGTTCGTTGGTCAAATACATTTGTAAAAATTGTTTAAAAATAGAAGAATTGTTTTGCCATACAAAACGAAAACATAAAGAACGCGTGCAATATTATATAAAACAAACAGAAAAAATATTTGAATAGGCATCGTGTGCAAATAGAAAATGATACAATGGTGATAGATTCGCGCATCATTTAAATTGTATAATGAACGCTCAATTGACCCGAGCCAAGCGTAACAACAAACAACAACAACGACTAACATTACAAATACATAGAATAATGTTGTTTGATGCGTGTGTTACACACATTTGCGTAATGACAATTATATTTCTGTCAATGATTTTTTTAAAATTCTGCAAGATTATCATCATCATCATTTTTTCATGGTGCTAAATAACTTTATTTTTGATTTGTTTTTTGTACAAAGTTTCATTATAAATAGAAAATTTATGCATAGATTTATCATATAATTTACCATGAAAGTATGAATATCACACATATGCTAGTGAAGAAAAATAAATGTTTTCGAAAGAATATTCAGACAATTTATTTTTGATTGTATTTCGGAAGCTAAAAACACCCAGACACCCACCCAGCAAAAAAAAAACACTATCTACAATGATGCTATCTATGAAATGAAACGAAACAAAATCGAAAATGAAAAAAAAACATGTCTATGAAACAATCATGATTGAATTGAATAATAAACCATAACAATTTTGTTTAATGTTAAAAGAATTTTGTTTATATTATCATCAACAGCAACAACCATTGCTTAGAAAATAACCCTTTTTTTCTGGTAACCGACTGTGGCTGCTGCTGTTTTTTTTTCTTTTGGTGATAATTTGTTTTGAGAAAAAGAAAAAGAAAATCTCAAAGTCCAAAAAAACAGTCCAATTTATTATTGATATTTGCCTTGATTTGATTAGACCACTTCTATGTCGGTTGTCAGTTTGTTTGCCAGAAAACAAAGTTTTTTGGTTTTTGATCTGAATCTAATGATTATGATGATGATGATGATGATATTCACACATCCGATGGTTGAAAATAAAGTGTAGAAACAAAAAAAAAGGGCGATGCGGTTATTTACATCCGTACAACAATTTAATTTCAGAAACAAGAAAAACATCAACAGTCAAAGGTCATGCATCTGGAATATTTTCTGTGTGTGTTTGGTATCTATTTGTTTATGAATTTGTAACATTTCACAGCTTTACAGTAGATCTGAATCAGAATCAAAAAAGTCAAATGATTTTAATAACAGTGCGTTTTTGTAATATAAAACTTTTTGCATACAATTCTAATCTATTAAAAATCAAATAATTAACATGAAATAATTAAGATTTAAGAAGAAGAAGAATCAAAGATTCTATTACCACCAAGTAGGCGGTAATCATTATGAACATAATGTTCTTCTTTCTGGATGTCAAAATAAAAATGAAAATTATTCAAGTAATTTTTTGTTGTTGTTGTTGTTGAAAAAAAGCACTTGATTTTTCAAAATTCTAGTTGATTGTCATTATCATCATCCTGATCATAACATTTGTTTGTTCAACAACATTGATGTTCTGGTCTACGATATTGTTGTTGTCATTTTGATAAACAGACTATGTCGGACGGACGGATATATATTATTCACTTTTATTCTTTGATCATTTTCATTTGATGACAAACGTCAACACACACACAATAAGATTAAAGTATCTTGATAACAACAACAACAACGAACAGAGAAAAAAAACGTGTACACCACACACACATGGTAAACACAGAATTTTTTTCAACAAAATTAAACAAAAAGTACGAATAGAGAATGACAAACTTTCTAGTACCGAAATTCATTTAGACAGGCAACAAAAAAATGATACAAACACATGCAAACAAAGCGAAAGCAAAAAAAAAACGAAACTTGAGTCATGTTTCATGGATCGTTATTCGTTATATATTGTCACTTAATTCTTTCTCCTTGTGTGTGTGTGTGTCTTTGTTGTCGTTTTTGTTTTTTTTTCTTTCCTGGACATCTTTTTTTTCCCATTTCCTTCCTTTTTAATATATTTTTTTTTCATACAACCATCATCATCATCGTTTATTTTATTTTTTATTTTTTGTTTTGTTTTGTTTTCATTCAATTCGATTCTCTCTTTTTTTCGTTATATTTTGATTCTTTTTTGGATCATTCACACACACACACACACACTCGTAATAGAGTAATATTTATTTAGTTTTTTTTCCTTTGCTAGTCACTTGACAACTATATCGTATAGTTAAATCAGTAGAAATAGTTGATCAATGTGTGTGTGTGGATGTTTGGATGTGTGTGTTCCAGGACATTTCACTGATACTATTACTGTTTGGATCCATAGAGAGAAAACTAGAGAAGAAAAAAAAACAACAACCAGCATATTCTCTTCTCCATATAACCAATTTTTTATTCTCTGTTTTCTGTTTTCATTCCCGTTCATTGTCATTCATTCATTCATTCATGGTTGATGTTGATGGTGTGGCATATATCAAACGACAATCAAGATTATTTATTTTATTTTTTTTTCTTCTCTGTTCGATCGAAAGATAAGAAACTAAAGCAAGATATATAATTGTGTGTGAATGAAGAGAAGAAGTGATTGTTGTTGTTATTGTCATCGACGATGACGACGAGACCAACCATCCAGTCAACCAGACTGTGATGATAATGATAATGATGATCATGATGATGATGATATGTAATGTATGTTTCGAACGCCTCAAGTCTTGGACACCAAACAACAACAACAACTATTAGGAGAAAAGTATGAACAATAATAATTCTTTGATTCTTCAGACAAAAAAAACATGATATTGTCATATAGCCATCATCATTGATGATGATGATGATGATGATAATAGTGTGACAATGTGACATTTCAACCGAAAAAAAAGTAAGCAATAGATTTGGCACACGTTTGGCACATGTGTACCACACACACACACAAACACACATTGAGAAAGAATACACTCCTTCATGAAATGATGATATAATCGCTGATTCTAAATGTTTGAATCCTGTGTTTTTTCATGATGAATTGATGAATGAAAAGAAAATGGTGTGAGAAATGAATTAGATTGAATGATGAAAAAAACAAACAGGAACAGATATTTATTGTTTGTTTCATTTCCTTTCATTATCATTATTATTATTATTCAGAAAGATGAAATTCTATTAATTTTAGTTATAAAAAAGAACAGAAAAACACATTATTCCTAAGCTTATGATGTATTGTGATTGGTAATCTAAATTCTTTTCTACATTCATTTATTCCATTATTAACTATAATAGAAATGAATTTTTTTTCCATTTCCTTGCCATGAAAACACAAAAAGATGTTTAGATAATAAGATTTGAAATTGGCAGAAAAAAAAATCCAACAGAAATTACCTGAATGACTCGCATATTGAGACCAGTTTCATTGGCCAATTGTTCACGTATATGTCTTGTTGGTTTTGGCGTTGCCTGAAATGCTGCCTTTAATGTTTCCAATTGTTTTGCTTTAATTGTTGTACGTGGTCCACGACGTTTTGTACCACCAGGTTGATTTTCATCATTACCACTACCAATACTATTGGCTGAACCGGATTGATGACCACCGGTTGGTGATGATGGATCACCAAGACCACCTAATGATGCTGCTGAACCATTTGTACAACCAATACCAGAATCTGACATTGATGATGTTGCTGACATTGGTGATGATTTACTTGATAATGCATGATGTGATGATCCATGACTTAGACTATTTAATGATGGTAATGGGCCATCAAGGCCAAGTAATGTTTCATCTTCGTTATCTGAATCTAATTCATCTTTACAGCTGAGATCTTCACCATCACCTGGTGATACCATACTATCATCAAAATCAGGATCATCACCATCAATAGTTGATTCATTCAATGTTGTTAAACCTGTGTATGTTTGTAAATGATAAAAAGAAGTAAAACGAAAAAAAAAACATTATAAATTAATCAAATATTATCATAAGAAAAACAAAAAACAAAAATTATAAATTTATCAGACATCAAATTCATATTAATCAATAATAATAAAGTTTGTTTTTTCCGGAAAATTTCAACTAAAATAATCAAACAATTAACCGTTAAAATGAAATTGCACATTAAGATAAAAAAAACTTCCTACCCGAATTATTAGTTTGTAACACCGTATCACATATTATAAACTGTTCTTTTTTCTATTATATAATTTTTAACATGTTTCCAGAAACAAAACCACTGACAACCAATAACATATCATTATCAACAACCATTATTCAATTCAATTTTTCGTTCGCCTTTTTTTTGTAATTATTATGGCAATTTAGATTATGAAAAAAAAATCTATTGTTCAATTGAGATATGAAATCATTTCATTATTATTATTATTATCGATTTGACATCATTCGAAAGAAAAAATTATTGAGTTCTTTAAATGTCAAATAAATGAATGAAGAAAAAAAATACTGGACAAGCAATAAAAGAAAATTTCCATAACTATACAACAGCAGTAAAAGTCATAAATAACTTGGCACCAAGAAGAAAAGTTTTCTTCTTGATTTATACACAAAATGAGTGAAAAACGACACGAATTATTATTTACATCCAGATTTTTGAAGAAAAAAAAACAAAATCAACCGATTTTGTGGCCAAAATAAAATGATGTGATAGTCTGTCTGCCTGAATGGCTGGCTGGTGATGACATTTTGATGATTTTTTTTCTCAACCATCATTTGTGGTCGTATCTGTTTTGATCGTCATAATCATCATCATCATTATCATAACCATAAGAAACGACGATAATAAACTACGTCGACAATACATATAATCAACTAAAGAAGAAAAACTAATAAGTTTTTGGCCGTAAAAAAAATTAAACCAAACTAAATTCTTGATTTTTTTGACAAAAATGTTAAAAACTTTTCTTTAACAAACAGCCAACTAGTCAGATCCCGTGAATCATTATCATTATCATCATATTTGCACAACAGGAGAAAACCTTATATCGAATATTCTATAAATGAATACAGAATGATTTTTTTCTAGTTAAATCAACCAATGTGTATTATTATTTTCCACAAACACCCTGTATAGATTAGAGTCAAGGGACATTTTGATAATAATAATAATAATCATCATCATTATCATCATGATCACGGATAATGGTAATCAAGAACGAACGGAAAAAAACTTTGTTCGTATTTAAAATCACAATACTATGAAGAATCCATCAACCATATTTGAACAAACACACAAGTATATTTCAAATCAGAAAAAAAAGATTTGAAAAAAAACTTGAAAAAAAATATTTAAAATCCCAATAGAGATGATAAACCACATGAAAAACCATTCACATTGATGATGATCTACGTCTTGGGTATCATATAATGACACACACCAAACAAACCAAACAAATATTCTTTATTACATTGAAAACCACATTGCTATCATAAAGAATTTTTATTTTCCTGAAAAACATACGAATCTTTTTTTGTTTCATTTGAAAAATCAACCAATAAAACAATATCAGAACAAGAATTGAAAAAAAACGACAAAACTGAACATCATAATATAATGATGATTTTATGTGGAAAAAAAAGAATTTCATTGCAATAAGAATATGAAATGTGAAGAAGTGAGAAGAAGAAGAACTTTTCAAAACTTTTTCAACATTTCAAATGTAAATACGATACTCATTTATTTTTCCTTTAACATTATCATTATGGTTAATGTTAATGTTTATCAACAAACAAAATATAAAAACATGAAAAGAATAGAAACAAAGGTTCTTTCTGCAACATTTCATTGTTGTTTTTTTTGATTATTTCTGTATGTTGATTTTGTATGGTAATCCATCGCTCAAATGAAAATGTCTGTGTGTTTGGATTGCCATAACACACGGTCCAAACGAGCGCGTGTTTGTGCATTTCATTTTTGATTTACGTGACCGGTGTTAATTTTTCATGACGATCAAACCACAACACAACACAGGACACGATCGTAAATGAACAAAAACCAAGCACCCAAGACAAAGAATGAGAAGAGAAAAAAAAATGATAAAACATCAACAACAACAACTTGGACCTAGAAAATTTTTTCTTGGCTTGGTGATGATGGACCAAGATCATAGATCAGAGATCATTATCATTGAATAAATGAATTTTTGTTCACATTAGCAAAAGAAAAAAATGAACGACAAGATTTTTTATTTTTAAACCACGAATTTGAACGTTCGGGATATTAACGTTTCTTAATTTTTCTTAAGATTTCACATTTTCTTTTAAATTTCATTCTCTCTTTCACCTTAAATTTTATATTCTTAGCATTTTCTGACGATATTCGTATAGCAAAAACATTGTGCATTCGAGAAAAAAAAACAAAAACAAAATTCTTTTGAGCAAAAGTTTTTTTTCTCCATTATTTCACCACTATTATCTGAATCACGACTCTTATATGATGATAAAATAATAATAAAATAAAAAACAGGCAAGTTTGTTATATGTGTTTGATGCTTTTATCGATTCAAATTCGTGTGCTTGGTTGGTTGATTTCTGTTTTAATATTTTTCTTTTTTCGGTAATGAAAAATCATAGGAAGAAAAAACCACAGAAAAAAAACCTGAAAATAAAGTCGATCGTCGATGGTTAAATGGATGATGATGATGATGACCATATCATGGTAAAAAAGAAATTTTTCTTGTAGCATTTTTTACGTAAGTTTCATCATTTCGTTTTTTTTGTTTCTTCAAAATGAAAGTTAGCTTCATCATCATCAACAACTATTTAGAGCCACCAAAATATCACATCACAAATGTGTGTGATATGTATGTCGTGTGTGCAAGTTGTGTCAAGATTTACGACAACAACACGACCACGAAATGCGAGAAACAAAAAAAAAAGAAAAAGAAATCCATCATTATGCAACATAATCAACCCGAATATATAGGGGGAAGAGAAAAAAGGGACAACTTTGGCAACAACAAAACAAAAAAGAAAAGAAAACTGACCACAGTACACGATTGACATGAATTAATCTTCTTCTTTTTGTGTTGATCCATTGTGTGGTCAAATCACAGTAAGTTTATGGTGATCATCACACTACCAACATCATCATCATCATCAATCGATGAGATCATGAGGTAAAGATGATGTAAAAGCTGGAGAATTTTACAAAAATCTCAAGAAAAACAATGCCGATAGATTTTTGTTCTGTATTTCTTTTCTTTTCTTTTTTTTTTGCTCGCTTAACGCATTGAATCCCATTTCCTTATAAAAAAACTGAAAACCCGACAAAACAAAATTATTTCAACCCAAAAAAAATTCTGACATTTGGCAAATTTTCATCAAAAAAAAACCTTGTTGATGTTCGTGAAAAAGAGGCGAACTATATTCTTTCTTCAATAAACACACATTCTTGGCAGATCAACCATATGTGTGTGTGTGTGTAAATCAATTGTGGCAAGCAACAACAACAACAACGAAAAAAAAGTGAGAAGACTTATTACCACCAAATAGAAACCACGTTTTTATGTACATGGCCAAACATGGTTTCTCTTGTTTTTTCACTCGAATTAAAGCAAAACAAAACGAGAAAAAACGCGATGATCTTCATGACAAGATATCTTGATGATGACCATTTATATTCATGAAAATCATCATCATTGGCATGAGGATCATGTTGAAATCCAAAATGTTTTTCTCTGTTCATCATTCTCCATCCATCATATACTTTTTTTTCCACTAATACGTTACTAATTTATTATGGTGTGTATAATGGTAGCGTATTAATTCAATTCGTGAAAAAATAAAGAAAAATCGTAAGAAAAAAAAAAGAAAATATTGTCGAAAAACTCGTTGATGTTTGATGATCAAATATGGTACACTTTAGACAAAAATGATATAAACATAACGGAACTCTGCCGAGAAAAAACTAAAAAAATTCATAATGTACATTTTCCTTTGGAAAAAAAAGGCCAGGCAAAAGCAAAAAAAAAAATCTTTTTTTCCATTGATTAAATGAATGAATGAAACAAATTTCTATAATTACAATGTATGATTAAAACAACAACAAATAATTCTTTATGAATGAATTTCATCGTATACGATCATAAATCAATTGAACAACAACAACAACAAAAAAGTGAGAAAAATAATGGATTTTTTTCTTGTTGGAAAATTACAAATTTTAAAATTTTCAAAAAAATAAATTAATGAATGAATATCGAGTACACTCAATATTTGACCTTTATTGTTATTACCTTTGTTATTTTCATTGGATAATTAATTTCATCATTTTCAATCCTGTCAGGTGGGCGTGTGTTTGCGAAGAAACAATTCTTGAAATAAAGAATGGCCTTTTTCATGTTGTACTTTGAACTCTAACGGGATAATCATTTTTCAAAATGGAAAATTTTTTCAGAAACTAAAACAATTTACCGATGAAAACAAAACCGGATCAAAAATTTTTCTGGAAAATTTTTTTTTCCTTTTTCTTCTTTTCGAAGAAGAGCATTGAAACAAAATGAAAACTCGAAAAATTCCATTGAATTGGATACAATTTTTTTCTAGTCTATTTTTGTTGTTGTTGTTGTTGTATTGAAATGAACAACAGACTAAACAGAAAATCACCATGTGATTCATGAAATGAACGAGAGATAGAGAGAAAAAAAGTATTATTTTGCCCAAAAGGCAAAATCATCTACGTAATGAGATTTGTAAGTAAAATGTGAAACTTTTTATAAATTATTCTAACCAGAACAACAAAAAAAAAATTCCAAGTATGACCGGCATATACCATTTTTTTTTCTGGTATGAAATGATGGTCGGATACAAATCAAAATTTGTAGTGTGATGAACATTACATCACTACAAACTAACCAGTGTGACAATGTTGTTGTTGTTGTTGTTGTTACAACCACATGTGATGCCAATTGATCCCGCAAGCTAAACGAATAGAAAAACTCACACACGAATCATGAAATGTAAATATTATTCTAAAGTTACAGAATTTGATGATGACAAATTTATATAGTTTTGATCGATCCTTTGGGCTATATTACGAATGAACACACTTGTCACATACCAAATACACAAATACCAAGTACATTACAATTTACATTAATTTATAAATCATTATTTTTGAATTTATAAAGAATAATTTAATTATTGCATTGATTTTGGATGCAAATTTTTTCTTTTCGTTCATTCATTTTGACATTTTGGGTTTTGTTTCTTACCTTGATGATGATGATGATGTGGATGATGTGAATGTGGATGATGATGATGATGATGCGAATGATTCGTTGTTGGTTGATGATGTGGTGGTGGTGGTGGCGCCGGTGATTGCTGTTGATGATGATTATGGTGATGATGAGAATGATGAAGTAATGTAGGCGGTGGTGGTTGTTGTTGTTGTTGATGCGGATGCAGATGATGATGTCTATTATTAATATAATCTTTTTCACATATAAAACGATTCTCTTCCAATATATACAATTGTTCACCGGTACTTAATTGTTTACGGCATACTATACAGGTAAAACATTTTATATGAAATACTTTATTACGTGCACGACGTACTAAATCGGTGGGTAATATTCCTTGTGAACATCCAGAACATTTTGTACCAAAACGTCTATTTAAAAAAAGAAAAAAGAAAAATCAATTTAAAAAAAAAATGAAAGTAAAAACAAAATTTAAATCGAAATCATCAACGCAATATTATTTCAAAACAATCAAAAAAATAAAATAAATACGAAAAATCAATGTTTGTTTTTTTATTTTATTCGCATTGATGAATCGCAATAATAATAATAATCGCAATTATTATCATATTTGTACAACAAAACATCATTTTTTTTCAATATTAACGAATTGTATACAACAAAAAAAAACTTTTTGAATTATGAAATGTATTTCTTCAAAAAAAACAAGCAATTTATATTTTATTTTATTTTTTTCATCCATTGTTCTTCTCTATTCATCATCATAATATTTGCCCAACAAAAAAAAAAACATTGTGTGTGTGTGTATTGCAAACAGAATGGCAACCCAGAATGAAAAGGAAAAAAACAACAACAACAACAACAATGGTGATTTTTTTTTGTTGGAGAAATAGGCAAAAAAACCACACACACACACAAATCGAATTGAACTGCCGGAATTATCAATGATGATGATGATGATGATAATTTTTCATACAATACTACGACAAGCTATTGCAAATAATGGCAGTGAAAAAAAAAGAAAAAGAAAACAAAACAAAAAAAATGTAAAAATAATAAGTGAGAAAACGTAACATAAAACGCTTTAGGGTAGATGGATGAATGCCAATGAAAGAAAAAAAAAACCAGAATTTTTTTCGCCTGTATTCTTTCTATTCAAGTTGAATGATAGAGAGTGAGAATCAGAGAGGGAATGTGTTGGTGGTGTACCAGACAGGGACCAGAATTTCTCTCTCACTTCAACTATGGTGGTTTGGGTGAAAAAAATGAGATTCATGTTACCCACATATAATCATTTATTCGCTTGATCATGCAGAATCGAGTGTGTGTGAGTGAGTGAGGGAAATTCTGGTATAATTCTGGTACAAAAAAAAACTGTATGGATGGATGGATGGATGGTTTGGTTCGTATATGTTGCGTTTTCATTCTTCAGTTTTATTTTTTTTTTCCTATCTATGGTTTCTGTCTCCGGGGGCAAACTTCAATGTCTATCCATCTTGAACATTGTCGATCCAAAAACAACAACAACAACAACAAAAACGATGATGATAATAATAATTTCTGAAAAAATATAATTTTCAAATGGAAAATACCAACCAAAAATATTTTGAATTCAAATGGAATATTTGGAAATTTTTTCTCAAATGAATCAATGATGCCGGTAAAAGATTCATAGTCATGACACATACCATCAACACTAAACGAAAAAAAAGGGTTTATCAAACTTGGTTGATTTTCACTGTATGTATCTGTCTATCTATCTGTTTGTTTGGATTCTTTTGTTTCCAATGATGATGATGATGATGACAATGACATTTGGGTGACGATCATTTTTTCTTTTTTTTGTTGCCTGGATTTTATTCTTTCTGGCAGTATTTTTTTTGCTTGTGTTCGAAGCTTTGTCTTCGCAATAGAATGATTGTGTTTCTTGTTTCGATTCGATTTTTTTTTCATTTGTATCGTTCTTTTTTTATCGTTATCTATTGAATTTGTGGTGGTTTTCGCATTCATTCATTCATTCTCTCTCCCATTGTTACCAAAAAATTTCTCACTCATTCAATTTTTTTTTGCATGTTCATAGTCTGGTGACAATGTCAAAAATGACAGGCTTGTATTTTTTTTTGTGGCCATCAACACCCACTCACCCAAACGAATGATCAAAGCTAAGAAAAAAAGAATAAAGGCCAACAAAACCTATGTGTAAATGTTTCAATGATAGAAATGAATGAAAAACATACACACACTGAGACCAAAGGGACAAATGTGAGAAAAGAAAATATTCGTTTTACATGCCGATAAAGTAAAGTCAAAAAAGAAGCATCTAGAAATCATCAAATAGACCTAGATTTGTTGATCATACTGATTATGAATGAATGGTGAATACATTGTGAAAAAAAACTAATATTTGAAAAGAAAAGAAAATATAACAAACAATCAATTGATGATCAAACATGTCAGCAAAAGGGGGAAAAAAAGATTTGAAATGTCTATCAGAAATCAAAACAACAACAATGCACAAAAAAAAACACCGACAAACTTTGGTGTCGATCAAGTGTCAATTAGAGAAAAAAAAGAAAATATGATATAAAAGTAGGTAGGTATTTATATCAAACTAGCATTGCAAGCCATTGGCCATTGGCTTCGTCTACTAAGTAGACGAAGTCTAGCTTAGTCATAAGGCCAAGTCCAATGCAAGCCAGCCATTTGTTTATGTAAAAATCAAAAGATCCTTATAAATAAAAAATGCAAGCCATCCATTTTTCGAGCATGCGCATTGAAATAGAAAAAAGTGTTTCGTCTCAGCCAGCCAGCCAGCCAGTCAGTGTTTTACTTTTTTATGTTATTGTGGAAGGTATATAAGGCTTCAGTCAAAATCATATGGTTTATGAAAATTTGGATGATGATCATCCATTGGATTTTTTTCATTTCATTATCATTATGTTTTTTTGCTGTTGCTGTTGATTCTTTTGGGCTTATTGAAGCTGTCATTTTTTTTGTTGAAAATCGGGAAAAATACGCCCATCATACGCGACAATGACAACAACACTCGTCAATTGTCATCGATGATTTCGTCGTGTTTTTGTTTGTTTGTTTCCACATCGGCATAGACATCACCATGTCAAACTACCACGACCAGTATACACAAAAACACTTAATACAATATCAACATTGTCATCCCCATTGTGTGTCTATGTGTATCGAGAATAATAAAAGAGTGTTTGGCGAAAAAAAAACTGTCCATGGTGTTTAACCACAACAACAACAACAACAGCAACGAAAATAATGAAACAAACTGAATGAAACCTAAAAAAATAACATAGAGAAAAACTAAACTCAATGAACACAATCGTGCGAGACCAAGGAGAGAAGAAAAAACAACAACCGATGAACGAATTGAACCATGTGACCACAAAATAAAAATAATAATAACAACAATTTGAAACAAAACCAAAAAATGAAAAGAATGAAAAAAATCAAATTCATCGAACTAACATGTTATTATTCGTAATATGTTGTTGTTGTAGTCGCGATGTTATTGTTGTTGTTTTTTTTTCTTTTTTGGAACTATGGAACAACAACAACCGACAATATACTTAAAAATTATAATACAGCGTTTGATATTATGAAAATCGAAAAAAAAAGAAGTAAAGGTAAAAGATACTTGAGAAAAAAATAGAAACATAGAAATTATTTTCTTTCTTCTTTGCAATAAGGTTTAAAGTTCGTGTGTGTGTGTGTGTTTGTGTGTCCGGAAAACACCAATGTTATGATGATATGACAATGATGATGATGATGTGTAACAACAACAACAAAAAGAAAAAATGTCAAACTTTATTGTAAAAACAATATGTATAGGTGTTTTTTTTCTTTTTTTGAAAGAAAAATCAAGGTTATAAATTATTATTGTTGTTACCTTGAATTCGAGATGGATGGATGGATAATGATAATAATAATAATAGAAAATTTCACATAGTAACTAAAGAGAAAGAAACACATACATATCGCAAATCTAAAGAATAATCATAGCGGCATTTGATCGAATGAAATATAAAATAAAAGACTTGGAATCCTTATATCATAAGTGAGTGAGAGAAAGTCAATTCATATATGATAATGTGTAATAGAAGTAGTTCGAAGAAAATATTTACCGCCTAAATATTATTCAGTTTTAAAAAAAAAATTCGGCTGATCAAAAGTCGATGAAGTTGAAAGAAAGAAAAGAAAGAAAAAAACTTATAACCCACAATTATGATTATGATTATTATGTGCGTACCAAAACACAAAGAAATATATGGGTGGATCACTCTTGTAGATATTTTTTCCTGTGCTACTGGATATTTTCTTAATCATCGATGTGTTGCAGAATTTATTTCGACTTTTGGAAATTTTCAATGTTCTGATGATCAACAACAGATTCGTTCGAGAAAAAAAAAGATTTGCATATTTTTTTTTTAAATCTGATAAGTGTGAATTTTGTTTCTGATGTTCATAATAAGCTTATCGTTTGTTTTAATTCTTTGATTATTTGACTGATTGATTGATTGATTAGGCTGACAAATCATCACCCGATTAAACGATATGGACAATGAATGAATAATCAGACAGCTATGATATAATGTTGATAACCGGCTTCTGCTTTAAAAAAATTTAAATCCAAAATCTACTTTAGAAAATCAAATCTGATCTCAGTAAAGAATCAAAAAAAAGTTTTGCTTTACTGATATTGTCAGACAAGAAAAAAAATTCATTCATTCATTCAGTTTATTCAGTCCAGAAAAAAAATTTTGGGTGATTTATTTTCATTTTATCGTTACAGAAGAACTTCATCCACTTTATCCAAACTTATTATCATCGATCGATGCTCTGTGTGTTTTGCTTTATTCCAATCAAAAGTACAGAAGAAGAAGAAGAAGAAAAAAATCTGATAAAGATTTACCTGAAAAGAAAAGAAACGAATAAAGAAAAAGGCGAGAAACTTACTAAATCATCACCTTTGGATGTTTACAAAAAAAAAATTGAACATTTTTCATTTTTTTTCAAAGATTAGAAAATCTTTCTGACAATATCTAACAGCCTCTCTTTTGGTGATGATTTTTTTTTTGTTTTTGACAGACTTGTTTAAGATTTGTTTCAATCAAATGTTGATAACAACACACACTAAGTAGATTAATCTTATTTATGGTAGGATTTTCTTCTTCTTTTACCCTTGTGCAATTCACCTGTGTTTGTTTGTTTGTTTGTGTATGTCATTTTTATCAGTTTGAATTTAGATTCTGTATTATGAAAACAACTAACTAAGAAATTTAAAATTCATTCATTCAAAAAAAAAATTTAAGAAATTTATTTTTCGTACGTTCGATTTAGATAACCTTCACAGAATACCTGATTGCCTGTCAATCATTCGAATCGT